CACACACACACCCACACACGCACAAACAAATGCTCGTGCATACACAAGCAACCACATACAACAGATGCTTACTGGGTCAAAAATGAGCTTTTACCAGTAAAACAGCGATGTAAATTGAGAAGTTTTCATAAAAAGCATAACACTGCTATACCTCATTAAAAGACTTAAACAAACGGCAAGCATTTTGAAAGGTCAAGCCTCTCTTGGGTCCTCTATCCAGTAAAGTACCACGCGAGCAAACCAAGTTCGATGCGAATTCAGGCGGTTTTCCTCTTCCTCCCCATTGTCCTCCTGTTCCTCCGCCTCAGCAACCTGTTTGCATCCAGTCTAAAACTACTCCCCTTTAGATAAAGGCTTGTATTTCGCCCACTGATTTTTCACCAAAACCCCTTCTCTCCGACAGTCGTGAGGAGTGCATGGCAACAGCCTAACAGAATCAGAAACCTAAAGACCAAACAAAAAACCACGAATTCAATGTTTTCACTGGAGATATGCAGCACAGGAACGAGGGAGAAAGGAGGAAGCCTTGGTACTCTTTTTTTTTGTCAAACTCAATCTAGCTAGTAGTACCTTGCATAAATTGTAAACTTTATTATTTGAAAGACACATACAACGATTACAATTAAAAAGAAATGCAAATTGAGTCAAAAATGAGGCAAATCAGTTGATAAAACAGCGACATGAATTGAGGTAATTTGAAGACTCTGTTAGAAATGATGAATGGTTATATCTAGAAGGAGGGGAAAAGTGCTGAATACTGTTGAAGGCTTGACGATTAGATAACAAGTTTTTCGGGAGGGACCGCATCTCCCTCGTCTCAGTATACAACAAAATACCACGATGACAAGTCAGTACACAGTGTTGGTTCAGTTATTTCACTCTATACGGTCATCATTAGTAGGCGAATTCATCAACTTCCAGACGCGATACATTTCGTCGATGAGTAGCCCAGAGGTGATACTCATCCCGTCCGGAGTGCGCGCACATTTCTGGCGCAAAATACGCAACTCACTGATCAGCTCCTCCATATATCTGAAAGTTTTTTGATCAAACGGACAGAAAACTAGCGAAATTGTAGTAGGAATCAGCAAACTGGAAAATTCCCTCCACGAAGACGGCACAAATGCTTTGTACCTACCACAGTAGGTGCAAAGCATACTTCCATGCTTGTTTGAAAACTAGGAAATGAATTGGACTCAGCGGTTTAAGGCAAAAATTTGGATTTAATACCCATCTCGTACAAAGACAGCGTCTGGACGTAGCTAGAGCCAGGCCCTTAGTTGGTGCCCACCGCTTGTCCGATGTACGTACGCCACTTCTTCAGAGCCGCTCAAGTGGTTGCTCGCTTCCGTATCGACACCACTCATTAGTGCGCATCGTTCACCGGTTATTGACAAGACGAGCAACATATCCTGTTCGTCGAAACTCACATCCTTGCGTGGTCGCAAAGAAATCCTGCATCTCGTTCAATCGAGAGCGAATTTAATCACTTGAATTTGACGTGCCCTCGCCTAGGATACGTTCGAGAGCGGCTGGTTTCTTGCTGAAAAGCACTGTTGACTCACTGTTGAAGATCCGGGAAATCGTCCTCTGGATCGTCTGGATACCCAGCGAATCGGTACAGACCAGGGCCCTGGTAGGGCGAAGCTGCACTGAGGTCTTCCAGCACATCCCCAGCATTACTATCTTCTGGCTGGTAGAAGTCGTTGTCCATGACTCGAAGACGCACGAATGTGTGCAGCTCGATAACCGATTCGAATGAGAGGCAGTGACCGGATGTACTGCTTTGCCCTGTTTATAAAGCCATATTTGGCGCAAAAGTTTGCATAATTGATTAAATTATGCAAATTTCGCTATACTGCAAGAAATGTGTATGTAAATCAGGCTCCTCTCAGTGAAAGAGACGCCGGCTTTCAGCAAATGTGTGAATACAATTAACGATTTTACAAATCTCCCACCATTTCGTCCAGAACAAAACGGAGACTTTCTAGAGGCACTAAAGATGCCAGGGGAAAGCTCTGGCGCAGTGGCTGCGAGTATAATAAGTACGAGTAAATTTAGAAACAAAAGCCAACAATTACAAGTTTGGTAAATTTTGAATTATCCGGCCGGAAAGGAACGGAGAACTCGGAGTTTAAGAGAAAATTCAACAAAATTCTTTCCTACAAGCGCTCAAGGAAATCATGAAAAACTAAATTATACAAACTAAAGCTGTCG